TCTCTCTCTCTCTCTCTCTCTGTCTCTCTCTCTCTCTTTCCCTGTACCTGTCCCTCTTCCTCTCCTGTTGTTTGAAAATTAGATGTTCTTTTAATAAAAAACCCAGAATCAGATATCAGGGTGAAAGCTGAAAGATCAGAGAAGCAGAACAGCCAGCCACTAGTTCTTACCTCTAGGAAATCCTCAGCCTAAAAAGAGTGAGTTCCTGTTTCCTTATGCTTTATATCCCTTTCTCTGCCCTGCCATATTACTTCCTGGGATCAAAGGCGTGTGTGCTTCCCAAACAAAGGCATGAGATCTTGAGTGATGGAATTAAAGGTGTGTGCCACCACTGTCTGCCCTCTATGTCTAATCTAGTGGCTCACTCTGTCCTCTGATCCTCAGGCAAGTTTATTAGGGTACACAATATATCACCACACTCTCCCTCTCCAATTGTCATCACAGAACCTTCATCTAGTAACTGATGGAAGCAGATGCAGAGATCCACAGCCAAGCACTGGGCCAATCTGATTACAGGAGAAGGCCAGCTCAGGCACCCTCTCAACTATTGCTAGGAGTCTTAGCTGGGGTCGTCCTTGTGGATTCCTGGGAACTTCCCTAGCACCCTGCTTCTCCCTATTCCCATGATGTCTTCATTTGTCATGGTATCTCTTTCTTTGCTCTCACACTCTGTCCCTGTTCTAGCTCAAACTTCCCACTCCGCTATGTTCTCATCCCCCATTCCTTGCCCTCCATTACTCCTCCTCAACCTCAGTATGCTCATGTGGACCTCATCTATTTCTCCTTCACTGGGCAATCTACACATCCTTCCTAGGGTCCTTCCTGTAGCTAGCCTCCCTGGAGCTGTAGGTTGCAGTCTGGTTTTTTATACATGATAGAAATTAGAACAAGATATCTCTTTTCATTGCTCTTCCTCTGCATCCCTCCCCCATTTCTCCTGTTCCCATCCCCTACCCCCTACCCTAAATACCCCCCTCTACCTCTAATTTACCCAGAAGATCTATTCCCCCTTTCCAGGGTGGTCCATGTGTTCCTCTTGGGGTCCTCCTTGTTACCTAGCTTCTCTAGGGCTGTGGATTGTAGCCTAGTTATTGGGGATTTCCCTAGCACCAGGTTTCTCCCTAACCCCATAATGGCTAACTCTGTCAAGATATCTCTTTCATTGCTCCCTCTCTCTGTCCCTGCCCCAAATCGGCCATCTTCAACTCTCATTTCTATGGTGATATTGTATTTGTACTAAAATGTTATTTGTATGTTAATAAATAAAGTTGCCCAGGGGTCAGAGCTATTAGTAAGCCATAGGAAAGCTGGGCGGTGGTGGTACACGCCTTTAATCCCAGCACTTGGTAGGCAGAGCTAGGTAGGTCTCTGTGTGTTCAAGGATACAGCCAGCATTGGATACACACACCTTTAATCTCAATACCAATCATAGAAGACCTGGAGGTCTCTATAGACAAGGGCAGTGACGAGGAGGTCATGTGGTTGGGTTTACAACCAATGAGAAGGCAGAATCGAAAGTCTTTATAAAGACTTTAACACAGGAAGTAGCT